GACTTCTTTTATTCCAAAAGTTTGTGGGTATGAAATATAGTGATGAGCTCCCATGTAACACATTATCAAAGTAAAATTAAGCAATGTGATTTTTTTTTTTTTCCCTAGCCTGATGGCAACAAGCCATATAAATTATAAAATAGACCCAGGTACAGGAAATCAAATCATGAAATAATCAGAGTTCACAGTAAAATACCCCCATTAAGATAATGTACCTAAATGACCTACATTGCAGCATTCTATTGCACTCCTACGCTTCAATACAGCTACTTCTGCATACGTTTTAGTTCACTGGTGCCAAAAAGGAAAATGGCCTCTAAGAAACGGCCGTTGCCCTCTGTTTGCCTCTTCCTTTCTCTCTCATTTTCTTAATTCTACCAGTTCACTCTCTCATTTTTGGTACCTCATCCCTTCATCCCTTTGTTTCCTCAAACTTTTAATGTCACTTCCAGCTGAGACAGATGGATACTCCACTGCTTTTAGCAACTGGGTATTTTTGTAGTGAGCCTGGGATTTCTTTATACCTCAAGCTTCTTGCTCTGCACTGACTGATACAAGGCACACCAGGCACACCCATATTTTCAGGACTCTACAGTCATGCCATACAAAATATTAATTCAGACTTGATAAAAGAAGTCCATGGCCCTGGAATTTATTTTGTGCTAATAGTATGTTTTAATCAAAGGCTAGCCTCTCAGCTGGGAGTCTGAATCAGTCAAGGAAATACATGACCCACCCAAGATCTTTGTACTTGCTTACTTTGTATTCAAATGAAAAAAGAAAGAAAGTAAGTTTAACATTTTGACCACTTTATTTATTGTGCGTTTTTTTCCAAAGCTGAATTGTGCAAATACTTACATGGCATGTTGGATGCGGACAGTACCCCTTTCATTTCAGAATAAGACAGCAGTGTAAAGCACACCAAACAGTAAGATTGTTCAGGCTTGAAATGCTAGTAAGCTTTACTTACTGTGTTAACGTTGTAAAATGAAAGATGTCCCTCTGCCCCACACTGTTTGAGCTGTGAATGTATTTTCAGAAATAAACCCATATTCTAATTCAATTTAGGAGAATGATGATAGAGAAAGCCCCTGAGGAGTCTCCTCCTGCCTCCCCTTGCCATGTCCGAAGTATGCCGTAAGCACAAGACAAATGAAGCCCTGTGAGACCAGCTTGCACAACACTTAATCAGATCCAGTCACCGCTGCAACAGCACTCACAGTTAGAGCTGAAACTGCATCCTTAGCTAATCTTCCAATGGTAACGAAGTCTATAATGAGTATGTAGGCAGGTTTTGTGTTGTAGGTTACAAATACACAAGCACAAATATGGCATAAAGCTGGATGTTTCTATGAGAATTTGGTCTGAAAGCAAGACCCCTACAGAAAGCCTGTTAGGAAGGAACCCTGAGAAAACACTGAAGAGCCACAGTCTTCCCTCCGCCAAAAAAGCTGTTAAGAAATACTGCCGAAAAATCAAAAATTCTGCTGAATGAGCAAAGGAGTGGTCAGAGAAAAAGCAGCTGATGCAGGGAACATCCTCCACCCCACTTCACGCTCATGCACTCACACACCCATATGCAGGCTGCTCTCTCTTGCAAGAGTCACAGATTTCTGACTGTAGATGTCAAGCAAAGTTCCTCCTGGTAACCCTGGCTGCTCTCCATGCTGACAGACTGCACAAGTTCAGAAAGGTGTAATTTACCCCTCTTTGTACCATGATGACCAATTAAAACAGTTACTCTTTTTACTTAGTGGATTTAAAACCCTTGGCATAACTTCAGTGTGATTTTGGTGTGATTGCATATGCAAGAAAGCAAAAACCAACAAACTGCGCCAACTTCTGAACTCTGTGTCCCTGAAATCACTGGGAATTTTGTTTAAGCAAGAGTTCAGAATTTGGCCCTGATGAAAGCAAACTTTAGCAGCAATGCAGGTTGGCCTCCGCACCACTAGTCAAACCAGTGATCTCCCATGCAGGTTCTGTTCCACTCCAGGCCACAGTTCCAGCACCACTCAAATCTGCACTGAGGGCGAGGACATTTCATGTGCATGCAGCCACCTGCAAAATAGCAACAGAATGGCCTTGGTACTTGGCAAACACTTAGAGATGTTAATCAACAATTTAGCAGTTTTAAAATCAACTTTCTTAGGTGTTCGTTTACTAACCAAGTAGAATATTTAATAAAAGAAAAGAACAAACCAGAAGAATACTTTTCCTGGGCTTTCTAAAACCTGGTACTCCCCCTCTTATTGGAGTGGAACGTACTGGTCTCACTTGAGGGACTGCACGATTAGGAACTGCAGTCCTGTCTGAAACTGGAAGAGATCGTGCTAGGGATAGGGAAAAGCGATGACAGTCTGTGGCCTCTCAAAGCAATCATGGAGGTGTCTGCTCAAGGATACTCTACCCTACTCCAGCTGTGAGCCAGAAGTTGAACAAAATTCAATTCTTTTTTGAATTTGGATTCAACAACTGAGAGGTTTGCAAAGAGAATAAATCAGAAGACACAGACTTTGGTGGCTGACTGCTGATTGCATCAAAATGACATTAGTAATTTCAATTAATTTGACCTTCTTAGTATCTGAAGCAGCCTTTTGATCACATCAGTGTTTCCTGTGTGTTGGATTTCTTACGTGCCTATACTGTGAGAGCAGCTTTAATCTCTCTGCTCACAACCTTGATCAAATGTTTATTTTGTAATATATAAAACATTAACATTGTCAAAGGTCATTACAGAAATACACTGCAAATGGAAATTATGTTGCTTACCACACAAAGAAATCTCTTGTATAATTCAAACTAAAAAAAAAAAAGCATGCAGAATGAAGAAATGCTGAAATGTCATCTTGGTTTGACTCTGGATGGTGATACGAGGTACAGGGAGTTTGTGATCCCTACTGTACAACCTGCTCCCCTTATACCACCTTTTCTGTAAATGCCACTCCAGAATGATGCTCAGAAGGTAAAAACAGCAGGAGACACAAGAACTGGTTTGTTAAAATAGGCCTGTCTGCTTCATGTGGCAGAGAGAGAAAACTAGCTGTGATGGCAAGGTCTATTTGTCAGATTATATCTTTGTGTAAGAGATGCAATTCACCAGCCATTTTTATATTTTATTTAAATGTAAGCATACCAGTGGCCAGCCTCCGTGTTACACTTTACTTAAGGTTTAGACCCAATCCTCTCTTACAATTCATATTAAGCCATCACTGGGTAAAATGCATCTCAATCCTGGCACAGGACCCAAAGCCCAATAGGCACCTTCTGTCAAACATGCGCTCTACCTGCTAAGCCACATAAATCATGTTATTCTCTGCTACACGGCAGCTGAGATCAGCAGTCAGAGTGGAGAGTGCCTCAAGCAATGTGGCCTACAGCTTTGTGAGTACAGCAGTCCTCTGAGAGCTGTGGATATGTGTTTAAGCTCACTCAGACTGGGAATTGAGCTGTGGGAAAGTGTTTTGCTCTTTCTTTGGCTATTACAGAAAAGTTATTGGCACATAGAAGTATTCTACAATGCCTATAGCTATACAGGCTATTATAGAAAAGTTATTGACCCAGAGAAATATAGTCTATTATAGAAAAGTTATCGGCATTGTCACTGTCCCTTGTAAAAAAACAGCGTCCACAGAAGCATTTGGGGAGGGAAGGCAGAATTATTCTCTTGTGCGTAGTCAGCCTACTCCTCCCAAATAAGGACTGTTGGCAGACTTCGGTGTACAGTTGTCAGCCTCTTGACACCAGCTGTACTTAGGCAGAAGTGAAGTGCTCCTTTCAGTTTACAAATGTCAGCCTAGAAGCTGGCACGTGCAGTACCCATGACCAGAAACAAAAGCAATCACTGCACTTTTTAAGCTTCACGCCTTAATTCGCAGAATCACAGAATCACTGAGGTGGGAAGGTACCTTTAGAGATTATCCAGTCCAACCCCCCACTGCTCAAAGCAGGGTCAACTAAAGTAGGGTGCTCAGGATTGTGTCCAGTTGGGTTTTGAATGTATGGGTTTAGAATGGAGACTCTTTCTGGGCAACCTGTTCCAGTCTTAAACCACCCACACGGTAAAAAGCATTTTCTTATGTTTAAATGGAATTTCCTATCTTTCAGTTTGTGCCCATTGCCTTCTGTCCTTTCAGTGGGCACCACTGAGAAGAGTTTGGCTCTGTCTTCTTTGCTCCCCTCATCAGGTATTTATTTATCCAGTCCTTTTATCATCTTTGTAGCCCTTCACTGGGCTCGTTCCAGTCCATGTCTCTCTTGTACAGGGAAGCCCAGAACTGGACCTCCCAGTCTAGACGTGTCTCACCAGAGCTGAGCAGGGGGGAAGGATCATCTCCCTTGACCTGCTGGGGATGCTCTTCCTAATGTGGCCCAGGATGCTGTTGGCCTTCTTTTCTGCAAGGGCACATTGCTGGCTCATGTCCAACTTGTAGTCCACCAGGACACTCAGGTCCTTTCCATCCAGTTGGCCCCCAACCTGTATTGGTGCATTTCCCTTTGTTGAACTTCAAGAGGTTTCTCTCAGCCCATCTCCCAGCCTGTCGAGGTCCCTCTGAACGGCAGCAAAAACAGCCGATTCCAGTATGTTGAAACATTTCTAGCCTGCTGCTGTGGCTTTGGCATTTTGCATTATGAGGCACTGTGCATTATGAGGCACATGGGTCGGGCTATAAGCAAGGAAAGGTCTTTTCCTGCTTATTATCCATTTTCAGTAAATATTTTCTTTCAAGGATAAAAAGTAACGGCCTTTATTTCCTTTTTGATACACGGGGGATTTTTACAAGCAACTTCCCTAAACATTAGTGCGAGTTGTGTAAATTATATCATGGTGTCAAATAGGGATACCCTGTTTGTGACAAGTGACAACTGCCTGTAATTTAACAGTAAAGATTTTGTAGCAGAGTCTTAGAGAAAGGAAAGGTCCTAGCACTGCTTCCAGCCTGACCAGAAGATTTTTTTTATTTGGCTATGTGCAAACTGTTAAGTATGAATAGTCACGATTATTATTTGTCTATTTCTTATCCAGTTAAAAGTTCTGGTTGCCAGCCTGTTTTACAAGTCTGTAAATAATTTTTTGACCTACCCCTCTGTTATCTCTCTTCTGCTGCCCACCTTGCTCTCCACACTTTGCCAAATTTTGTCTCGCCTTCCCACTCTCAAATTCATGCTTTCTTTCCTGGTGCTTCTTGTCCTTGAAGAAGTCTCCCACTTTCCATCTGCCAACTGCCTTCTTTTCTTTCATGAAAACCGAGATTTCAGGATTTTGTTCTATTTCTTCCTCAGTAATACTTCTGTAGTATCACTGCTTGAAGTGTCTTATTTGGCGTTTTCAGAGTCCCATTTGAATAAGTGATGCCACAAAACTGAGAAGCATCCTCTATACTTAATATTCATATAATATTTAGGCAACAATTTTAATATCTTTTGATTAATTAACATAAATACAATTAAATCTTGGAACAGGGAACAGCATGAACCTATAGGGTATAGACTATTTGCTGTTCCTGTTCCCCATTTTAACCACCCCAGTGCCAGTAGATCACTTTTCTTCCTACATGGTAAGCATTGACTAGTGCAACCAGTTTGTCAGGACTCACGTTTCTTCCTCCGACTTGCTCTTCTACTGTGGGCATGTCACTAGGCTGAGATTCACCTCATCTAAATTCAGCTATATACAGTGTAGACATCTACAGCAGGACTAATTCTCCACACCCCACTTTCAGGTGCGATTCTTCTGGCCTACATTAGACATATGTTCTGTTTCAGCGTGAGATGAGTTTTGCCCTACAACTGTCTATTTTTTCCAGTGACAATGGAAAATCTAGACAACTAGCAGACTGAAGTCATATGAAGTCTACGTCCAGTGTCTCTCTATGTCTTAGTTTCCCTAACTATAAAATAGCCGTGCATTTTGTGAGGCTTAATTAGTGGCTTTAGAACTAAGTGATTTAGATTTAGATAATTTAGATAAAGTGACAGAGGGAAGATTCAAGCTCTGTGTGCTCTTCCTCTCTTGGAATAATAGTGTGGATATGTACACACGCACGTTCATACCTTTATATTGTAAAATGAATGACAGTCAAGTACGAGATAGCTAAGAAATTTACCATTTTTTTCTACTGGAATATTGCAGCTGGGGCATGGCTTGGTTGTCTTCTTGATTGTTTCTCTAGATGCCTCTTCCCATCGAGCTTGCATGGCTGCATGTTCATCAACTACGTATCCCTGCAAAGAGAGAGAAAAAACACCTGTGGGCATGATACTGAAAGGCTGCGCCAGGGCATGGTGTCTACACTGAACTGATAACTATTTACCCATGAGAAACAGACAGGAGCGACTGCAAAGCCAGGTAGGCTGGACTTAGTGAGAGATGCAGGATTTTTGCTTCAAAATGCAAACTTATTTTCTCCCAGTGTGCACAAGACGTGGCGGGGGGAGCTGCAGCAGCTGGCGTGTGTGCCATCCTGGGGGTCCTTCCTACGTCCAGCTGCAGCACAGGCTGCGTCCTCCCCACTGCTCCCTGCCCCGAGTGGCAGGCAAAGACCTGGCAGGAGGACACAGGGGGCATCAAGCCGTGCTGCAAATGCACAAAGACAGGTAAAGCAAAAGGCAAGGTGAAGCAGGAGTCAGATGAACCCAGCTGAGACATGACGTGTTAGATGCTGTAGGTTTGATTCTGCTTCAGGGATTAAAATCCTTCTTTCAGGAAAAGCAAAAACCCTAAGGCAATGCAACACTTGATAATGCAGAATGGTCAGGTCCCTGGAAGGAAACTGTTTTTCATAATAAAGCATACTCCCTTGTTTTGGAGGTCTAGATTTCATTCAAACATAAATCTATCTAAATTTAAGAGGCCTTAAGAAGCACAAAGAAGAAACACAAAAATTTTGGAGAAAAAGTAAAAAAAAAAAAAACCAAAACAAAAACCAGTGAACAATGAAAGCAAGTAGCTCCCCAGACAGAGTGACACGGATGGAAAAAGTCATCATGAAGAGTGTTTTAAAAGGGACTCCTGTGTTTGTCCTATTTATGACTGGGACAAAATTACGTAATCTACACAAGTGTCCTACTTGGCAATTTCCTACCTGAAATGATAGTACAAGGACAAAAGAGATGTCAGTGCCTTGGGTCATTTCTATCATACAAGGTTGGCAACTACGTGAATAGTAGCTGTAAACAATGTATGTAGGTTCCAGCCTTGAAGTTCTGCTCTCTCCATTCGTAATGTGGGTTTTTTTCAAGCATGTGGGAAAATTATGAGCTTAAATGAAATTGTATAGTTTGAAAAATTCCTGTAACTTCTTGGTCTATACCTTCTAAATACTTGTAGGCTGTTATGTGGATAGACTTTTAATATTTATTTACAGGGATAATTTTTTAATATATTTTTTTCTAATAAGACAGAAAAAGGAAATTGACCCAACTTATAAACATGCAACATAACCATAACTCCTCTGGATTTCTGCTAAGCTACTACTGGTAAAACCTGTGAGTTATTGCAGTGTCAGTGAGCATGACCTAGATTTTATTTCTTGGCTGAAGTCACCTGAGTTAAAATGGAATAACAAAGAGCAACATCTGCAGAAATTCATGTCTAGCTCATCTGGTGGCCATTGCAACATGCATCTTAAAAAAAAACCAAAACAACAGGCTTTCTTAATCAGGAAACCTCAAAAATGTGTTTCTGGTATTATTTCTTTTATTTTGCTGCCTACATCAGGCTCCTCAGCCCTTTAATGCCTTTTGTTGCCCTTCACCTAATATTCTCCAATTTGCCAGTATTTCTGATGTAGAGGTGACAAAGGTGAACAAAGTCTTCTCAGCTGTATCCTAGAAGTGACTTTTACTTTTAGCTCTCTGCTTCTGGAGAGGGAACTCGGCCCTGCACCCTGCTGGATTATTCAGCAATTCAGCAAAAGGATGACCTCTGTACAATGGTACATTTGTAAGTTCTGGGAAATAGAAAAAGCTGCTCAGGCTAATAGCAAAGAACATCATCTGGTATTGATCTTGCAACACCTTGATCTTTAAGGAAAGATGACTTTAGCAAGCAATCTGAGCTAACTCAGAGAGGCCTCAACACAGGATGGGGAGAGAAGGGAAAGCTAGACCTGGGCCTCAGTTTGCCCAGTGACAGAAGGAAGATGATATTCATTTCATCTGGTTGTAATGGGAATTAATTAATTAACATTGTTAAAGATAATTCAAGATGAAAATCACTATAGCAGTGACAAAACATTGCTACTCTTTTCACAATAATAGCTACGTGAGAAGACCAGATGTATTTTTAATTTTTGTAGTCAACCCAGAAGAGCTTCACAGTGGCTCTGTTTTTCCCAAATAGTCCAAATCCAAACTGCGTGGTTCAGTACTTAGAAACATACCTTTTCCCCATCTTCATGTCTTTGTTGTGCCCTAATAGCAAATAACACTGAGGCAAAATTTCACATGCCAGATTGCTAATTTGATTTGTATAAAGATATTTGATCTCTAGTTCTGAAAACAAATACAAACTTGGGAGAGCTTAGGAATAACTAAAATAAACCGCACATATGCAATTCACCAAGAAAGAACAAATTGCTGAAAACAGCAGAGTGAATTATTACATTAATATTTTCCATTGCAAAAATTCTAGCATGGCATAGATGCAGCAGCATGATATTTTCAGCCCATTAGAGCTGAAGCACCCCTTCTATGCCCAGTCTTACTGAATGCTAAGTTAAAAACTTCCTGCTGCGGGAAGCAAATGCAGGGAAATGGTACAGTGATGGAGTCTCTCCAATCCAGTAAAGAAATCATACCATACTGATCTATGAGCCTCCAGTGTTCATGTGCTTTATTTAGTGCTCCACATACAATGACTGCAAGCGCACATATATTTATCTGCATTTTTCCTCAAACAATAAAGGAAAGGTGTATGGCAGTTCTCCATTACCAGTGTCTATTTAAATCACCTTCTTTCATCCTAAGCTAGCAAACCTAATCTTCTTGACAATGGCCTAGGTAATAGAGCAGGTCCATCAAGCAGAGGTGGCTCTTACTTTATTTGGCCTTCCTGGACCTGGATAGAAAGTTCAGAGATGCTCCAGGTGTGCATCACATGCCAGTTTGCTGAGGACAGGAGACTTTGATCACTTACGATACTGACCCCACACAATATGCTCTAGTTCCCCAAATATTACAAAATATTTGTCCCAGCACTAGTGAAAAGCTGCTAGATTCCATCCATGCCACTTTATGAGTAATTTTTTTGATTCTCAACTGTGCTGCACATTATGACCAGGAATGAATACCCATAAACAACAGAAAGCTACAGTAAGAGCTGTTGCAAGCATTTTTCAACGTCCCCTCTGCAATATTCCCTTAGTGAGACAGGGGAAAAAGTCTGTCTTGTTGTCACTGGGTCACACTGAAGGATGCAGATTTAATTCTATTCTGTTTCTATGCTGAGTCCTATGGAAAAGCTAACAGGGATAAAGAGAACAGAGACTGCTTAGCACCATACAGCAATACAAGAACATGTACATGGAAAGGTTTTTATGCAGTTAATCAATATCAGGCAGTACTGGAAAAAGTCCTACAGAGACAGAAAGCATCCTGAAATAGAAATAAAGTGTCCTTCTTAAAGCAGCATCTCATACAGGTACCAAGGCACACATCGACTTGTTGGTAGAACTACATAAAGGAAACGAACTATGTATTCACAGTCAGCAACTAAGCAGTACCATCCAGATTAAAAACATTTATGGCAAACCTTCATGTTCAAAATACCGGAAGCATTAGATACATAATGTTAAATTCTGTCATACACCGCATTATATACTGTCTTATGTAAGCACACTTCTTTTATGATCATGCTTATTTTGCCTAGCATAGACAACACCTGAAAACTGAAGACCCTTGATTCAGAATAGAATATGAAGCTGTTAACATTATGTTGTGCTTAGCTTTAGTGAATGTAATTTCTGGACTCCTGCTTGTTTGTTGTTGGTGCTTAATTCCTTTCTGATAAGCAAAAAAAGCTGGTCACACATAAAAAATGTATCCTAGTGTAGCTTCCTTTAAATCAGAAGTACCTTTCCTTTTGATCAGAAATGCTTGGTGTTAAGTTAATTTTCCTTGGAAAAATAAGATTTTTTAAAAATAAATAGAAATATGTAAAATTATGACTTTATGTGAAATATAGCATTTTAAAAAGGCTTAGATGTCTCAAAACAGAAAGTGTTACTCAGTTTCTAGCACGAATGTGAGAACAGTTACGGATATTTGAAAGGGCTTGAAAGGAAGACAAAGAATAATTCATTGTACACAAAGCAATGTTCAGACCACCATAACATTTAGATTAACACAGCCCACTAATTATTTTGGGCTAGAGCTCTAAGCAAAAGCAGCCTCATCTGTTGAAGCCTGATCTACAAGAGATGGTGACAGTCCAACTTAAATTTCTTTTGTTTTCTCAACTTCTTCTGGGCTGTTTTATGAAGTCATGTTCACATGAATTAACCTCCTGTTGTGTTTAGTGGTGTTTTTTACTTCAGGTGTGGGGGAAAAAAAAGCAGATGTCTAGGGAACTAGATAGGCTGGAGGACCTTTGGAAAAAATCCCATTATTTGAGTCACTTAAGAGTCAAAATCTCACAAAGAGAGGTGTACACAGCTATGGGACCAGTGGTCTAGTCTAGAGAAAGATTTTGGCTAATCAAAACACTAAAAAATGGATATAGATGTGGAATAGGAAAGATATCCATCAAAGGGAATATGTTTCATGCACCAGAAAAATAGAAGTGTCGGGTACCACACTGATCCAGTTAAACTCACATGAAGCAGCTTTGTGTGAGCCAATTTGTCTGGTGTGCCTAGGGAATTCTGCCGTAAAAAAAGAGCTGCTCTGTGATGACAGCAACTAGCTAAAATCAAAGTGATATACCCAGCGTATTGTGTCTGATGCAAGATGAAAGAGACTTTCACTAAATAAAATCAGAGAGCTCTGGGTTGGTGACAGTGCACATCAAGGCTCTCACTCTGCATGTAGCTGGTGAATACTGAATTTACACTGCTCTAAAGCAGAAAATCTAATCTAATACAGGTCATTCTTGTATAACTGTTTTCCACGAGCGGAATAAAGAACATGCCTTCTCCTGTAAGTGGCAACACAGCTGCAAATGACTGTCAGCTTAACCTCATAAACAAAAGCAGCCTGTCACATCTTTTTATTTTATTGCTGCC